GATAATGGCGACTTATAGTGGTCGATGATGGTGATGTGCAGCGAGCTTAGGCACGGCTTTAGCAGCGGGCTGAGCCGTTGTCTTGCTAGAAGGAGAGGGTCATGCTGCCGATGGAAAGATTGATCGCTAGAGAGTCCATGAAATTAATCACTGATTTTTTTTCTTTCTTCTTCTTCTGCTTGGATTTATTTATTTATTTATTTATTGCTAGGGTTCTAAGGATTTCAGAGTCTTGCTAGAGTTGGCTTGACAAGAAGTGGAGTTGATGTCAAAGCCAGTGTCAAGGCCGACGAGGAGATAAGTGGGGCTTGCGACGAAACACCTCGCGACTCGAGATCGAGAAAAGGTCTCTCTAGAGCTAATAACAAGGTTCTGATATCTTATAAGAATAGAGCTTTTAAAAAGAAAAAAAGACTCAATTATTCCTTGCATTGAATTGTTTAAATACACAAGCAAGAAAAGAGACTCTAAAATCCTAATCGATGTGGAACTAAAATAAAGGAAAGCAAGGTACACTAAACTACTATATTTAACAATAGTTGAGAATGATACTCGAGTTTTCTTTTGTAATAAATACAAATTAGTCAATTTGATGATAATTGTGTTTCCAAGTTCTCAAGTTAATTAAGAACTAAAAATTAATCTTATCTCATCAAGCTAGTAAGGACTCAAAAATTATTGGCCGCTCATACAATCACAGCGAACAAACACTTTGGTTTGTACTTGGAGATACTTTATCCGCTCGTAGTAACATTTGTAACGGACCAACCACTGAATTTTTTTTGAAGAACATCTTCTATCGTTAAGATACACTGATCCAAACGGAAAATTGATCTCACTTTACTACAATTAATTCTACGCATGATAATTTCCTCGTACATTTTCTAAGGTCATATGTAGAATATTTAATTCATCACATGAATCTAAATGATCATTTTTAAAGAAAATAAACTAATTTTCTTCTGAAGAAATAAAGCCTAAGATTATCTACATCAATGTGTCTAGTCAGAGTAAAATTTGACGGACCAAAGAATAAACGAAGTTATTATCAAGTACATCTGTCTAGGCAAAGAAAGCAACTCTCCAGATTCAACTCATAAAACTATAATTCATGAAAGTCGAATTGAGATGAAATAATGTTCGCAAGACATGCTTGCAATAAAATATTCGTTCTTCCATAGCTCTTTGATGGACAACTATAAAACAACACAGAAATGTACAAAGTTTAAAAATGCTACGCGGAAAAGGACAAGGGAAAAAAAGGGGGAAGGGAGGTGGGGGTAGGCGATCAGATACTTTAACAACATCCATGGTTTGGCTAGACTATCGAACAAATGATAACAGGAAAATATAGATTAAGCTTTGGATCAAATATTAGCGAATATGCCATAAGATTCGTCTCATCCATGTGATCCAGAGGTGGTATGCATCAACGAGTAATTATGCCAG